TGTAGTAAGCTGCGCTTAGGCTTTAGCCTTTTAATTTTGCTGTATTGACATTCTCTGCACGCTGTTTTGTTGTTTTTGTTGTTGGTTTTTTGTTTTTTTCTTGAACTGCACGGAATTTCAATTAGACAAGAAAGCCTTAGCCCAAAAGACTTCAAGGCACATTGTAGAAAGAAAGCCCACGATGGGCACGAGATATGAAAAAAAAAAACGCACAGAAGGTATCAGAAAATAGAAAAACAACAAATTCAGAAGCACGCACGTTATGTTTGACGAATGCTCCCGAGGGACAAGTTGGGCTTCATGTACCTTTCTTTTATATACATATGTATGTATGTATATGGATGTAAGTATGTATGTATGGGTGTATGTATGTATATATGTACATAGATATTATTGCACCACGCCCACGCACGCCTTTTGCCTAGAAGTTTTATAGCAACCTACTGCCTAGTGTTGTTGTTCTTACTGTTGTCAGCCAATTATTGGCAAAGCGGCAAACTCAGCACTTAAGCGTGCATTGTTCATTACCACACCACACACACACACACACACACTCATATACATATAAAATATAATATATATGTATATACACTTATACATATACATACGAGTATATATGTATGTACATATGTATGTATATAAAGCACACTCACACACATTGACTGTTGGAGCAGACGAGGATGGTGTTGGCGATGACGAGACTTGAGTCCAAGACCGACACGGAGACCGAAACCGAGAGCCGGAGACTGCTACTGTGAATTTGGAATTTGGAATGTTGAATGTGACTGGGAAATGTGTGTGTGTGTGTGTGTTGGTGCTGGTTGGTGTTAGTGTTGCTGCTGTTACAGCGTAGAGAGAGAGGCGACATGGAGCACACGGGAGAGTAAATGCGCATGGAGAGGTAGCTTGGTGGCAGGCACGCATAAAGGTTGTGAGCTGTAAGCTGCGAACTGCGGCCTGTGGCAGCAACATTAACACAGACACACACACACACAAGCATAGACACATACATACACACGAACGCATAAAATTCTAGAGCGAGCTCTTGGCCAAACTTTGGTGCCCGTTTTGTTTGGCCAAAATTGTCAACACTAGGCAGCAGCACTAGCACCAACACCAGTAAAAACAACAACAGCGACAACAATAGTAACACGAATACCATCAACAGAGCGTCAACGTCACCGTCGTTGGCGTTAGCAGCATTTGTGTTGTTACTGTTGCTGTTGTTGTTGGGGTTGTCAAACAAAAATTACGTCATACGTAGAGCACGAGCGACAGCCCAGCACAGCACAGCACAGCACAGCACACAACACAGATTTTTATGTGTATGCCAATGCCAATATGGCAGAGTATGACAGTATGTGGTCAATATGGCGCATACGCAGCGTCGTCGTCGTCGCCGTCGTTGTCGACGTCGTCCATCGTTATTGGCGGCTTAGTCAAGCCCAAAATGTATGTCATAACATATGTGGCGGGCAGTCTAAAACGGCAGTATGTTTGTTTGTATCTCTATGTGTACATACATACATATCTATGTATGTTAGTATGTATGTATATGTTCATTGCATTATTGATTCGCTTGTAAAAAGCGCGAGCTTTATCGAATTGCAATGCCCCCTAAGTTAGTCAGACAGCCATTCAGTCAGCTTGGCGGCTAATTCTGCTGCCAACAGCGGCGGAGGCGAAGGCGGTGGCGGTGACAGCGACAGCAGCAGCAGCAGCACCAGTGGCTCTGGCTTTGGCATCCCCGCCCTAACATTTTGAGAGCCAGAGACACCGCTTTGGATGATATCACTACCTTGCTGATTAATCAAGCACGTTTTCATTCGTATATTCATTTATATATATGTACATATATAGATGGATATATGTATGTAACTGGTCCGTTGGCCAATCTAGTATATACATATGTATGCATATGTTTATATGTGCATACATATGAGCGAATATGTATTAAATATTGGTTTTAAAATGGGTGACACACACTTGCAACTGTTTTTTCTGCTGCTGCTGCTGTTGCTATTGCTGTCGCTGCTTCGCTCAGTTGTTACATGTAGAACATTTTTGTATTTTTGCTTTTATCATTTTCATTTTATTTTTCGAGCAATGCACGAGCCAAACTTTTTTTATATTTTTTTGTTAAGGCACTGAACGCGCATCCTACATACACTTGTGCTTTTCGAGTTTCATCCATACAGAACATACTATATGTACATATGTATGTAGGTACATATGTAGATAGGAGGAGGTATATGCATATGTATAGGTATTTACACAGCGATGCCATTTTCCCAAACATTACCCCCACCCAACCCCCCTTTCGTTTACGCACATGTTTTGCTTTCTATTATTATTATCATTTCGCTTGCTTTTGCTTATTTCACCGAAGTGTGTGTATATAGATGTATAGATGTGGATACACATACAAAAAATTTATAGAGAACTATTTATGTAGATATATGCCTCTTCACAAGAGCACACACTCAATCGTTTTCGTTTGTCTGTATAGATATGCATGTACATATGTATGTATGTATTTACCAAGATAAATATGTATATGTACACCTGAACAGCCCAGGGAAAGCAACACTTGTAAAAACTAACGATAAGAAGATTCAGATTCGCACATCAATTTTTATTATTTACCGATTTCTTTTACGATCTAAAGAAATAATAAGTACAAATGGCAAAGACTTGCCGTAACCGTAAAAACGCCGCGCAAACTAAACACATACACATACGATACAGACATACGATAGCGATATATATTGATATTCAGCAGAGTTTTCCGATAACTGATATTACCAGCCACCGATATGTTTTTATCATATCGGTACACCGATATTTGGGTTCTTTCACTATCAATATCGATATTTGCAATATAATTGCAGGGTATAAGCAGTGTTAGTCAACGATTATTTGTGACTGATATTGCCAAATATGTTTGCATTTTTTTACGAAAATATCCGTTATGAAGTCATTGCGAGATTATTACCGAAACACTTTTTTTCGCTAAAATGTACAATTGTTTCTGCCATTGCATTCCGAATGTAAACTAAAACAACTTACACTTGATTGCCTTCAATTGACCACTGAATTTGGGGTTTGAGAACCCTTTCTTGAATTTGTCTTCAGGTTTTGAAAAAAAAATATGAGACAGCACACCACACGAGTCTGGGTATTATACCACCGCCAGCTGCACGACTAAACGACTGAGCAGTTATTTGCGAACGGCTGTCCTATTTGTACCATTTTGCACTGACTCTGAATTATGCGCTATAACGTATCCGTGACAGAACAGGTAGCTGAGTTATTTGTCTTAATTATCACTGTACTGAAGTTATCTATCATTTGTTTGAGTTGATTACGTTACCACTGCGGCGTTGCTTCTACCTGAGCTGATAAGCAGATAAGGAACAAAAACAAACCAACCGTGTTTGTCTGCCAAGATGTGGATCTACCTGTACATGCACCGAAAGCCCAGAACCATTGATGGATTTGACCTTAACTGCACGCTGGACGCACATAAAAAAATCTTGTCACCTGAGAATAGTCGCATTTAACGCAAACAAGGGGATTTATGTTATTTGATAAGCACACTGATGCCAAAAATGTCTGAGGCACCCAAGGGGAAAACTTCCTCTTTCGTATTAGTATTAGATTTAAATGTGCACGGGTTTTCTCTATATATGTACATATGTATATATAAAACTATAACAATAAGCATACCACACACATGTGTGGCAATGTATTTAGAAAAACCGCAATTGCTGTTAAGATAAATGCCACGTTCTCTTACCAGAGCTATTTTGGAGAGAGTTCTTCTGAGATCACCGTTTCATCGACTTAAAATATCATTTAGCACGTTTTTGAGTTCAGCTCCTGAAATCAAATATAGTTAAAGCGTCAAATTAAGGATGTATGTACAGATGTTATTTATGCATTAATTTCATTTCAGAGAAATGTACAGTTTGTTTTGCTTTCCCCTTATTTTACTAAAACTTAACACACATTTTGTATGTGTCCATGGGGCAACAAGGTGAATTTTATGTAAATATGTATGTGATGCAGCATATACTTGTATGTAGGTATGTTCTTAAACATAAATTACACATTTGTATTACAAAACTAATTACAGGTCCATTCTTACATAAATCCACAAGCTGAGACGGAACATTTAATTCTTATTATTTTTTTTTCTAAGTTAAGCTTGCATGTGCGTGAGTGTAAATTTTCTCCACAATTTCTCTACACTATATACATACATATGTACACGAAATCGTGGGGAAATATGTATATACGTATGAGGTCACCAGGCCGGGATTTCCTTTTACGAAATGTGTAAAACACTTGGCACTGACTAATAGTTTGCTCGAAAATCCTTTATTTTTTAATTAACATTTTTTAAAACTATTTATTTAAGTTAATAGCAAATTATTAGTATATATTACATTTATGCGCGTACGAGTGTGTATGCGCGACTTCCGGATGACGTATTGTATAACTGCGGCGAAAATATTATACTTTCAACCTCTACACTTTTCGCTGGGATCCACCAATGGTTTCTGCGCTCTTATTATCGCTCGGCGGATAGACGCGATTTATATTTGGGATTTTAGCAGCGATATTGACATTTTTGAGGCGTTATAATCTGTTCAATTCAATTTTAAGGATTATTTGAACGCACTTGCAGCCGTACAGCATACTTTTGGGCGAGAAAAAAAAAAGAAATCGATATGCCATCGGCTCCAGTGCTGCCCATTTAAGATATTTAGAAGCCCAACACTTAGCACTGACTACGATTTGAATATTCGATTATAAATTATTGCCCTAGGCACGACTAAAAAATCGCACATGCAACCATGCGCAAATGAGCTAGTTCTTATCGTCCGTACAACCATGGGCTGCGGCCAATTAAACCAGCCAAATATCGTTCGTACAACCCTGACCGCCAATCCTATGGTTTTACCAATGAACTGGTTCTATTTCTATTCTCTCAACTAGATTGTGTGCGTCGCTTTCCTTCGGCTTTTTTCGCACATTGTAAATTGAAGAATATTGCATAAAAATATTAATTGAAAGTGCATTATCAGAAACACGCATGTTAATAAACGGGTAAGAATTACTGCTACAATTTCCAGTGTGTGCATTATATATGTGATTCTGTGTTTTGATAAATGCCACCAAAAATTTGATACATTTGCGGAGCGTCCATCGGCGGCATTGCCAGGCCAATGTAAATTTGCGCTCATACATGTATATATACAGTGTACTACAAAAGTTTAGATACTTTGACAAAAATAAACCTAATGATTATTCAATTAATTAAGTGTGGCATGATAGTTTTACTCATTTAAAAATAATTAAATTTCCAATAGTAAGTAAATAATTAAAAATATTTTATTGCAAACAATACATACAACTCCATTCAAAAAATAAAATAAAGTCTCTTTGCTTTAGTGAAGTACTGTAGATGGGGCTGCGATATGTATATGTTGGCAATATGTACATATCTGCGGCGCTGCCAGAGTGTCTTATTCAATATAGCCTCGGAAAGCGAACGGCAACCAAGTTGTTGATTTATGTTTGTAATTATTTCTTTTGGATATTATATATTTTCAGCGTTTATGCGGGAAGATGTATTCGTGCTTAAATTTAGCAGAAATATTAGACGGTGCACAAATTAACTGAATTGAGGGCGTTTTTGAACTTGAAAAATAAACCGAAGATACGATCAAGAGCTGTTTGCAGGAAAACCTCTTTTTTAATATGGAAAGTTCAGAGTTCGTTGGCTCTCTTGGGTCGGCCGCTGGAGTTGGAGTTGATGTTGGTGGTAGCAATGGAGGTGGAACCGGAACTGTTGCTGCATCCGCATCTGCTTCGGCTAGCACCGCTTCCGATGCTGATGAATTAAACTCGCAATCAATTTTATCTACTGATAGCCGAACCTCAAATAATGGTTTGAATCGCATCGATATGGATGTGAACACTTATCAAAGCGATAGCTTAGATCGAAATAGTTCAGTGCCAAACAGTTTGGCTGGCTTTCGATGGAAGCGCGTTCTGAATCCTACAGGTCCCCAACCGCGTCCGCGTCATGGACACCGCGCCATCAATATTAAAGAATTGATGGTGGTTTTTGGCGGTGGAAATGAAGGAATTGTGGACGAACTACACGTGTACAATACAGGTAAAACTATTTTATACACACAATTTTCCCATTTATCTAAACTTTATTTTTATTTCTCTTTCATCGCCGGTGGTTAGTTACCAATCAATGGTATGTGCCGGTGCTTAAAGGAGATGTGCCTAATGGCTGCGCTGCCTATGGCTTTGTAGTCGAGGGTACTCGCATGTTTGTCTTTGGCGGCATGATTGAGTATGGTAAATATTCAAATGAGCTCTACGAGCTGCAAGCGACCAAGTGGGAATGGAGGAAAATGTATCCGGAGTCGCCAGATAATGGGTTGTCGCCTTGTCCACGTTTGGGTCACAGTTTCACCATGGTGGGTGAGAAGATTTTTTTATTTGGCGGCTTGGCTAATGAATCGGACGATCCGAAAAATAATATTCCCAAGTAAGATTTAATTCCTTGTGCTATTAAAAAAAAAAAACAATAGAAATTATTATTTTTATAGTGCATAAGCATGCTGCTTAGTATAACGACTGGTTTACTTTTAAAAATTGGTCTCTGCTCTTGGATTTTCTATTTTAATATATGCTTTAAAATCAATATTGTATTAACATTTTTTTTGCTCTACCTGCAGATATTTAAACGATTTGTACATATTGGACACCCGCGGAGTGCACAGCCATAATGGCAAGTGGATAATACCCAAGACCTATGGAGAAAGTCCTCCACCACGAGAGTCTCACACAGGAATTTCGTTCACTTGCAAAGAGACCGGCAAACTTAATCTCCTTGTTTATGGCGGCATGAGCGGCTGTCGTCTGGGAGACTTGTGGTTACTCGATACTGGTAATTGCTAAAGGACACATATTTTTCATTTTCCTATTATAAACTCAACTAAATCCAATTTGCAGATTCAATGACTTGGTCAAAGCCTCGAACTTGGGGCCAAGCTCCGCTGCCACGCTCACTGCATAGTTCAACAATGATCGCAAATAAAATGTACGTCTTCGGAGGTTGGGTGCCATTGGTTATAAATGACTCCAAGGCAACTACCGAACGCGAATGGAAATGCACAAACACGTTGGCAGTTTTGGATTTGGGTAGGTTTTCGGACTCTGGTGGCTAAAACTATGAGATATATCATAAAATTATGAACATTTTTCTCAATTAAAGACACCATGACATGGGAGAATGTCACTCTGGACACCTTAGAAGAGAATGTTCCGCGAGCTCGCGCTGGACACTGTGCCGTTGGTATTCAAAGTCGTTTGTATGTGTGGTCGGGACGCGACGGTTACCGCAAAGCTTGGAACAACCAGGTTAGGGTGAGATTCGGTATCTTCTTATATAGCGATAAGAAGCTGATTCAAGTCACTAACAAACTGAACGATTGAAGAAGTAAATTTTTGAGTGAGTCTGCGTGAATATCAATAGATATCTGTATGTGTTGATTCCTAATGATGTGATAAGTGAAATTTTCGTAACTAAATTGAGAAAACAGTCTTTGCAGCTTTATAATTAATAAGCGAACTAGCGAATAACAGAGTTCTTCTGCCTGATAAATTAAATGAGAATGAATTTATGAATGAGGTGAATTGAGAATTTAACGGTTAATGAAAAAGTTCTTGAGTGAGTGTTGACCCTAGCCACTTAATTAAATGTATGTATCATTATTTATATTCATCGACGAATATTTTTATCTGTATTTCTTGCCTTCTGAACCAAAAGGGAAAAATATTTTATTTCTACTACTTGAAAATTGTTGCTAGCTTTTACTGAAAACTTTAAACTTTACTCTTGAATGAATAGTTAATGGAAAGCGTCTCGAAACACATAACATTTGTAGACCTCATTTATTTGAATATAAATGAAATGTCCGTCGTATTTTACAGTCTCGAATTTAGTACCATATTATCGAAATTGCTTAATATACGTGTGTATGTGTACAAGCATTAGTATAAATTGGGCTTTAGGGCTAAGTAAAGCCCTGGTCCCGCAAATAACAATAAAAATATGGAAAGAAAATATAGATAGGTAGAATTGCTCTCGATTTTAAGCGAATTTTCAACCATTTATGGCATACTTGTGACATTCGACAAATTTGTGTGCAAGATAGTTTATTTGATTGTGAAGCTTGGGCTTAGCTTTGCACATAAAGCCAATGATTAGATTAAAAGGAAATCCGCAGCTATAGGTGCTGTATTCGAGGCATAAATAAACATTTAAAGAATTATTAAAGATAAATTCTTAGTTAAAGTAGGTATTGAAATGCATTTTTGTATCTAGTTCGTCGTTTAAATTTTGCATCTTTTCTATATGTGGCAGGTCTGCTGCAAGGATCTTTGGTATCTGGAGGTTACCAAGCCGCTGTATGCCGTCAAAGTGGCACTGGTACGTGCCTCAACTCATGCCCTCGAACTATCCTGGACCGCGACCACTTTTGCGGCTGCCTATGTGCTGCAAATTCAAAAAATCGAGCCACCACCACCGGCCGGCACCAAACAGGGATCATGTCAGAACCAGCTGCCAAACACAGCGGAGGGAAACAACTCCGTGGCCGCTGCGTCTTCATCTACAACCACATCCCTCGCGGCTAACTCTAATGGTTCAGATAATGCTACAGCGACTGCTGTAAAATTCGAAAAGAATTCAATTGCTGTTTCCCAGCTGCCAAGCACTGTGCCAACAGTTGGAGCTGCATCTGGCGGGGCTTCCTCTGCTGGCACCACCATATTCGTGTCGCAGTCACAGCCAGTGGTGCAGGTGAAGAATAACACGGCCATTGCCACAACTGTTATGACGACTGGAAAACCATCAACGAATTCGTCGCCAATGTCGATAATCTCGGCGCAGCCGCAAATCTCCATAATAAGCAGCTCGGCAGCTACGGGAAGTGGCGTTGGCATCGGCAGTAGTGACAATGGAAGTCCAGCAGCGAACAGCAGTCCCAACTCATTGCAAAAGTTTCGACCAAGCACGGTGGCTACTTCGCGAATATCCATGGCCACAGCTACTACCAGTGCCACTGCAGTTGTTGCCACCGCTGGCAGTCAGCTTACTGACGTAAACAGTGGACAAAATGTGGCGGTACGTGTGGCCACCTCGGTGGCGCCCAATGTGGTGCTCAACTCACAAACATCAACAGCTGCAGTTCGCATCATTCCTGGCGTCAGTTCAATGGGCTCTGCCGGCCAGACCCTTCGTCTGGCCACCACCCATAGCACAGGTGTCAGCGGCAGCGGTGGTGCCACTACCACAACCATACTAAAAACGGCACAACCCAGCGCTACCGTGCAGCTATCCACCGCATCGGGAGCTCAGGGCGCCACCACCACTTCGTTGGCCGGCAAACAGTACTTCATACAGAAGCCATTAACTCTGGCGCCCAATGTGCTGCAGTTTGTAAAGACCAGCAGTGGTGCAATGGCTGTGCAGGCGCTGCCCAAAATCAATTTCAATGTGGCCAAGGGTGGTGGACAGACTCAGACTATGTCTTTATGCAGTCAACAGTTATCCTCCGGATCTACACAAATACAGGTAAGTCGTTAAAATTGTGCTGCTAATGCGACTTATAATTGGGTACAAACTTATTTAAAAACGGGTCCACTTTTAAATACTATAATAATACAACGTCGATGCTCTTTCCAGAAGAAGGCGTTGCAGACCCCACAAAGTATATTTATATATTTTTGATCAATGTAACGAATAGCCGATATAGCCAAGTCCGTTTGTCCGCTTGTCTTAGGATATATAATATACATATAGAAACACAACACTTTGTGTACACATTCGTCTCTCGATGCAGCCCCATTCTACCCGATTAGTAATTTTGGTGTCCTAATGATAGGCATACTCTACAGGCTAATGGAGAAACGCAACGGCACGTCTCTATGTCTAAATCTTTAAAAATTTTAGTTTAGTATCGATGTTGTGGTTCATTCTTTTAAGTACCCCTTAGGAAGAAATTGGAGGGTGTTTAATTAAGGGATTGGCTGGTCAGCTGATCAACTATCTTTTATTAGTCTTGTAGTGTCATAATTAATTAACTGATTCAGTAGAAAAAAAGATAAAGTAACCGAGAATGGTACTTTTAAGTTAAGTTGAAGTTAATAATGCAATGCGATGTTAATCGGTTTTTTTTTTATTACAGATTGCACCTGCGGGCAGCAATTTGCAGTCAAAGCCTACTTTGACCACAAGTGGGTCTGCAACAGTGGCCACTTCCGTTGCTGGTGGAGGACAACAGCAAAAATCACTCGTCTCGGGCAACGTTTTGAAACTCGTCAGCCCTCACACAATGGCCGGCGGTAAACTCATCATGAAGAACTCCAACATTCTGCAGGTGGGCAAAGTGACGCCCAACGTGATGGGCGGGAAGCCGGCCTTTGTTATAACAAACAAACAGGGCGGTCAGTTGACCAATCAGCAGATTATCATAGTGACCACAGGCGGTGGCATACGCACAGTACCTGCGGGCACAGTGATGACCAGTGCAGGCAGCGCTTCCGGTGGTGCCAACATCGTCAGCATAGTCGGCTCTACAGCGACCACTGCCACACCTGTCGCTGTGGGCGGACAACGCACCTTGATGCCTACACAGACGAGCGTAAAGATGCTGCGTAACATACCGGGTGGTACTGTTGGTCGGCCCATTACTCTAACGCTGCCCACATCGACAGCAACGGGCGTGGGTGCTGGTCAAACGGTAACTGGGGCTCAAAAACTATCGGGCACAACAATGCAGCAAAAGACCATAACATTTGGCGGCAAACCCGTGACTGTGATGAGCGCCAATGCGGCGATGTCATCAGTGCCCAAAACTGTTACCATTATGGGTTCCGGTGGAGGTGCTGGTGGGGGACAGCAGCAGGCAATTATCACCAGCGCCGCGGGCACCGTAACTGGCGGCAATAAGTTGGTTATGCTGCCAAGCACAGCAAAGAAGGGCTTCGTCAACATTTTCAGTGCAGGCACAGGTGTTGGTGGTGCCTCCGGAGGTGGACTGTCACGGACACTCACACTGGCTTCCAGAATGACGTCGGCCAAGACAGCAGCAGCGTCTGTGGCACAAATGAAGGAGAAAGATAGCAACGTTGTGGAGGCAGCTGTCACCATTGCTACATTGGCCGACTCCGCTTACAATGATGCCGATCCCATGGATGATATTATTGAGCAGCTCGATGGCGCCGGTGATCAATTAAAGACGCCCAGCAATAACGAAGTCATTGATATTGAAGAGGCATTGGCTGTGGCTAGTGGTGCTGCCACCTCTACATCTATAACCTCAGCCAATACATTGACAACGATGGCGACGGTGAGCGCAATGGCTGATGAGACGAAGATGGTTGCGGAGCTTATGGGTTTGGACACAATGGAGGATGTTTCCAGCACCACAGACGCTCAAAAGCCTTCCCTGGCAAGCGATAATGATGTAAATACTTCAAGAAAGGGCAACGATGAAATCGACTCCAGCGTAAGTGAAAGAAACACTGAGTATTTGTTGCAATCTATACCATGCACATTATTTTGTATGTATATAGGCGAATCCCGTCACCACAACTGGTACGAGCTCCGATAGCCAACCCACAAACTCTGAAACAGAAGCGGCCAATATACTGACAACCATCAAGTCCGGAGACGGCTTGGGCACTTTGCTTAAGGACACTGTCATTTCGACCACCAGCAATGACGAAGCCAAACAAAAACAGGCTGTGCTCCATCAACATCAGAATGGTTAGTAATTCTCGTACTCGAATTGAATAAAAATTAGTGCTAAATGCTCGTAATTATATTTTCAGTGGACGGATCACATTTGGATGCCTTAGCATCGGCAGCTGTTATGCAGGCAGCTACCGCTTCGGTGGACTCCAGTCAGACGAGGAGTTTTCTAGAGAACACAGATAATCGCGATCACAGCTTTAACAAAATTGCCACCGAGTCCGCAAGCACACAGCCAAAAGGCAACTTCGACAGCGAAGTAAGTGTAATAATATGGATCAAGTTAAAGGCATATTTTTATGTGCCGAAAGTTTGTTAGACTAACATTATTATAGCTTTCTATTTATGGGTCCACTCAATAACATTCCATAATCAAATCAACACATTTTAATTTGAATATTTGAAAAATTGTGAGAGTGAGAACGTTAGATTCTCCTCTAGGTATCTATCTCTATACATCTCTTTTACTATCTGCGTCTCTTTCTGTGCCCACAGGAACCACAACAGAACGCCGCTGCCACTGATGATAGCGATAAGTGGCACACAGTGGGCATATTCAAGGAGCTCTCACATACTGTAACCAGCTATATTGACTATAAATATTTCAACGAGTCAGTTCTGGAGAATTTCGATGTGGACGCTTTGCCAGATCTGTCGCAATATCCGCGCATTTCTCTCGATCCTGGCACAGCCTATCGTTTCCGGTTGGCGGCTCTAAACTCATGTGGGCGCGGTGAATGGGGAGAGGTGAGTCCAAATAAATATTGAAATTTATAAATCGACTAATTTCACATTATCTTGCCTTTCAGATAAGTAGTTTTAAGACATGCCTACCAGGATTTCCGGGTGCTCCATCAGCCATCAAAGTATGTGTAGAGACAGATAGTTTTTAGATAAACTATAATTTACTTGGGCTTTTTCTTTCTTTCGCTTGGCAGATATCAAAATCGCCAGAAGGCGCACACTTGACTTGGGAACCGCCACCGGCTCAGAAGACGAAGGAAATTGTTGAGTACTCGGTTTACCTGGCTGTAAAGCCGACGGCGAAGGACAAGGTCGCTTCGCCGCAATTGGCCTTTGTGCGCGTCTATGTGGGTGCAGCCAATCAATGCACAGTACCCAATGCATCGCTCTCCAATGCCCACGTCGACTGCTCCAATAAACCGGCTATTATATTCCGCATCGCAGCACGTAATCAAAAGGGCTATGGTCCAGCGACTCAAGTTAGGTGGCTGCAAGGTGAGTGCTTTATGTGAACATATATGGGGGAACCTATGAAGAGTGTGACACAATTAAGATCAGCCAAATGCTTGTATAGTGTGTTGTAAACCCTATTTTTATAGCCTGTACTCAAAGGGTGAAAGGCTATACTAGTTTTGTGCGAATATATGTAACATTCAGAAGGAGGCGTGGCAGACCCCACAAAGTATTTATATTATTGATCATGATGACAAGGCGAGTCGATATAGCCATGTCCGTCTATCCGTCTGTCCGTCTGAATGAACGCAAGGATCTCAGCAAGTACAAAAGCAAGAATAACCAAACTTGGTATCCAGATTCTCCTAAGTCCGAGAAAGGACGAGTTTGTGTTTTTTTTCCTGCAGCTCTGCCCGCAGCGCTGCCAGCAGCAGTTGTTGTTGCTGCTTTGGTTCAACTTTGTGCTTCATACATACACACATATAAACATGCAGAGACACGATTCTGATGTAAATGTATGCTGTTGAAACTGTATTTAATTTAAATAATATTATTTTTTTCTTAAATGAATTAAACAATTTTTTTTCACTTTTTCTTTTTGGTCGGAGGCACAGGGTATTTAAAAGTTGAGCGTGCATTCCTTTCTTGTTTAATATTTGTATGTAATGCAAAGAAATATGGACTGTCAACATAGTTAGAATTTCAACTTAAAAGCTAAGAAAGTCAGACAAACCCTATAAATCAATTACTTAAAATGTAATCTTAATCTCCAACTTGATTTAATAGCCAGTCCAACAAACTGGGCCCCGGCGCACAGATATTTTCATGGACAAAAGAGAGGGAGAGAGATGTCTTAAAATACTCCCTAAACATTTTTAATTTGAACAAAACACCTCGAAAGATAGTTTAATGAATTTAAAGTTGACTTCTAACAATTTACATTTCTTTCGTTCTTCTTTTAGATCCGGCCACAACCAAGATGCAAAGCACTAGTAACGTAAACAATCTGAAACGCAATCAGGATAAATCAGGCTCTTCACCTTACGGCACACCACAGAAGCGTGGACGCAGCACCGGATTGCTGGGTAGCGATTAGACTTATGTAACACATACACAGACACACACACACACTTGTCAGCATCTAGCATTAAGTTAAAGGTCAAGAAAAAGGAAAAAAACTTCGTAGACCTAAGCAGATTTTCAGTAATTAAGAATTGCCACCAACACACACAAAAAAAAAAAGAAAAAATGAAAAAAACTAAAATTAAAAAAAAAAAAACAGAATAATCGCTAATAAGATAGCACTTTATAAACATATGTATGATTAATGAGTTGACCGCATTACTTTTACACTTGCATGTAAATCAATCGACATATAGTCACACAAAACACTCGAAAAGTTCTTATTACATTAACTAACGTATTCATACTTAACGACCGCGACTAGAGACTTTAAGCAACACATTTGACCTAAATTTCTTTCAGCGCTAACAAATTAAAAATAATCATTATTTAACTCATTGGTATTTATTCGGAATGAATTTAGAAATTTTTCATCTACACAACGATAAGAAAGCCAGTATATTTCATGTTGGTTTCCCATCCCGCTCCGTCGACAATGAACAGACCAGAACAGAATATTAATTTGTTACTACCTATGTATGTAGTATGTATGTGTATGTATGCTCCTTGGAAATGCGATAATACCGCGAACTGTGGGCATTTTTTTACGACAATTCGCGACACATGGATACATACACACATATATATATATATATATATATATATATATATATATATAGATATACTTATATAGACCGCACCGAAGCGAAATCAAAGTTATAGAAATCTTCATGTATGTATATTTTAGTCATTTTAAATTCCTAAAAACAAAAGTCGATTTAATGCCTATAAATATATCCTAATGTATTAATGAAATTTACATTTTAAAATAAACAATAAAAATTAGTCTGTAATATTATTTCATATTTGTTGAACAATTTTTTTTTTTGAACAATCCCAGCAGAGGTCACCTCACTTATTTCGTTGTCTGCGCATTGAACAGACACAGAATTATTCTGTTGACAGCCTATTCTATTCTACCAATGTATGTATATTCAATTAAGATTTACAAAAAGAAGAGAAAAATGTAATTAAAAATTAGTGAAGCGTTTTTGCTGTAGAAAAATGCAATGATATTATGTACTTCTGAGCAGCTCAAAAATGATTGTAAAAGTGGTAGTTTTTATTAATTTAATTTTTATGTAAATGAATGACTTACCTATAAATGTCTACTGTCCAGAGTTCTATTATAATACAGAATTTTGTTTCTCTTGGTTCAGAGCTTTCCTCTAGTTAAATTTCAGTTTTTATTTCTATTTACTTGGTAGCTCGTAATGAATGTCCTCCTATCTCTATGAACATAGAGGTCTTTGGAGACATATAAGTACCAAGTTTACTACAGTTTATTAACTGTGTCAACATTTTATATAGCTTATAATCGGTTCAAAAATAGTTATTAGTTGGAAAACCTCTTTCTTTAATTTGTAATCGAAGCCAAACTATGCTTCTATGCCTCACCATATTCTGAAGTTTCATCCAAATCGGACCACTTTATGATATAGCTGTCTTAGTAGTAAGCACTCCTATGTTTGGGATTTATTAGTTTCCAATACTTCTTCACTATATGCTAAAGGGTATGGGGCATTTGTTCCTTTTTTATTTCCCCCTTTCCTTGATGGCCATTTCATATCATCCAGCCAGCCACCAACCACCCTATAAAATGAAAACAAAATGTGCGCTTCATTGAAGAAGTTTTGCGATTTAATTACAAATTATATATGTATATATATACGTTTTTATTCTTACTTCTCTATCCATTTCATACAATTTAAAAATTTGCGCCTAAATGTTGTGAATGCTGCTAGTTTAAGAACGTTTACCAACTTTGGAAACTATTGCACGTTCGATCCAGCGACGATGAAGTATATATACTCTTTTAGTTGAAGCATGACTACTGGCTGGGGACAATCCATTATGGGGACCCCCACCTACTATGAGGATGATGTTAATGTGCTGTCCTTGATGTTGGCTTCAACCATCAGCATCCTTAAGACCGTACTACCAAAAAAAAAAAACAAAAATCTCCCCGCTGGTCTTCCATCCTTCCATCCGTCCTCCATTTAGAATCCTCTTGATTTTGGCCGTACTTGGACCACTAAGTTAACATACATAGGCAAAGCTTCCTTCTTCCTTCATCTTCGGATTGAGATGGCATTTCGTATTAATTCCGTAGATGTTGCGACACATTTAAAGGACACGCTTGCTTATTATTTAGACTTGTTATAATTTACCTATGTACTGAATATATATATGCATGCCCATTCGTTATATATGCGTGTATGTATGTGTGTATGTATTTCTTATAAAGGGCATGCATATATTTACACACAAGTTCTTTCATTGGGCTTACATACGACCGGACATAAAATAATATATTGTACAAGTTTTTCTTTTCTTTTTTGTTTTGTTTTCTTTTTTTTGTTTGGTTTTGTTTTGTTTTTCTCGTTTACGATTATTTTAAAATGTACATACATATTTTCTGTTACCTTCTTTCTTATGTTTTGTTTTTGATATTTATCAAGTTTTCGTTCTTATTGTAGTGCATGGTGGTGCATGGAAGGGTGGGTTCCCTGCCCCGCTACCCTTACCAGCCCATCCCATGCCGAGTAAGCTGAGTATGTTGTGTTGTCTGTGTGGGGGGTGTGGATGCTTCGATTGCCCCCACAAAACGGTTCGCTCTTACTCCTCAAGGGCTCCAGTATTTTCGAGACGCTTTGGAGCTTTGCTAATGTTCCGGTAGCTGGTGGCAACCGCTGTGGCGGCTTCATGAGTTATGCGGCGCCTGTTGTTCCTGTTGCTGCTGCTGCTGTTGTTGCTGTTGTTGTTGCTGCTGTTGCTGGGCCTGACTCGCTGCTGCGTTGCCGCCGCCGGCTCCGCCACCCGTAAGAAAATTGAGAGCGCGTGCATCGTGCAGACGAAGCGCCTGCTCCAATCGATGCTCCTGCAGACGCAGTGCAGCGGCATCGGATGCCGACGTCTGCTGGCTGCCCCCACCTCCACTCAGCACTGCGCTGTTTGCCTGGGGCGATTGGTGCAGATCCCGTCCGTTGAGCTGCTGTTGTTGTTGCTGTTGTTGTTGTTGCTGTTGGGCCGATTCGCTCTTAACGCCATTGGTGGCGGCCACCGAAGCGGCCAGTCGGAAGGCGGCCTCCGTATGGGAGCGCAGAATGGCCTCCGCTTGTTGCTGCATGCGCAAGGCTGTCTCCGGATTGGGATGATGGTGATGGGCATGGGCATGAGCGTGATGAGGATGGGTCTGGCCCTGCTGCCCGTGTTGTGAGATGGGCGGCACGGCATGCTGTGCGTAATTGGCGGCCTGATGCGGCAGCGTGCTGCTGGCATGATGCTGATGATGCAGTGCCTCCATTTGATGCATGCTTCCCAGGGTCGGATCGAGGGAGCCGCGCATCATGTTCATCACCACCGATGAGGTGTCCGGCTGCAGACTCGGCACATTGATGGGCGGTGAGCGACGAGTCCCACTGCCCGGTGGCTGTTGACCGCCGCCCAGGGGTGAGGGCTGCGGCAGATGGGGTAGTTGTTGTTGGTGATGCTGCTGCGACTGCTGCTGTTGCTGCTGGTGGTGGTGCTGGTGGTGGTCGGCGAGCTGTGAACGAAAGGGTAGGAAAAGTTGAAGGTAAAGCTACTGTGACAGCTGCCAAAGCTACAGTTTTGCCCTACACTTAGAATGCGTTACAAAACTGGACTGTTCCATCTATCCGTAATCCTACTATGAGTACCCATGGAAAATAAACCAAGTAGCTTCACTTACAAAACTGAACTGTTCCCTTTTAAGAAGCAGACACCTCTCTAACAAATTTTTAAACGTCCATGCACTCGAAAAAAAGGGTTTTCTTTTAAAATTAATTTTACACTGTGTCAAGATTTAGGTAAGTTCGAAATGTTGGTTTGAATCAGGAATTCAACACTTGAAAACCGAGTTCTGAACTCTCTGATCCATCTCGATAATTGTTACTTAAAGACGACTGACGCAGGTCTGACTCGGAAAAACAATATTTTCTAGATTCTAGAAAGCCAATATAAAGCTTTAAAAACTGTATATTAGTCGGAAATATTGTTAATTGATTTAAAAAATCGCATGCCTGATTTATTTCTAATTTCCAATTCCAGTCCAAGTTAAAAATATATGTCAGTGCTCGCAATTCGCAAAATTAGAATCAAACAATAGCATACTTGTAAATGAATCGGGAATGATATTCAATTTTGTTTTCGATTTAAAATTTGAGCTACCTTCTGATTTTTTCATCTACTTCTATTTATAAGCATTCTTAGCATCGGTTCGACTGCGTATTTTCTCTGAGTGTGGCGATGGAAATCTTTGACGTACCTGCTGCTGATGCGGATTGCCATGACCCAAGCCTCCCGCACTGTTGTTGGTGTTGTTCATGCGCATGGCGGCGGCCAGATTGACGACGGCCGCCTGCACGGCTGCGCTGCCCGGCACGGAATTGACCGCATCGGAGACACCATCGGGTGCTCGAGAGCCCGCCGAGGCGGCCACTGCAGCCGCAGCTGCCGAGGCAGCGGCCATCAGGGACATCCGATTGGCCACATGCATTTCGGCATCGATGTTGTACTGACTGGCGCCGGGCAGACGCAGCTCGTTCATTTTGTTGGAGCTGCAGTTGTTGTTGTTGTTGGTGCTGCTGTTGTTGTTGTTGGTGCTGCTATTGTTGTTGTTGTTGTTGTTGTGACTATTGTTTTCGTTCTCACTCAGACCCTGCTCCTGATCGGATGCGGACGATGAAGAGAGCCGGCCATTCGATGAGCACTCCGAATTGGCCGATGGCGATGGGCACATGGAATTGGAGCCGGTGGCGCCAACTCCAAGTGGCAACATGCTGCCAGATTCGCCGGCGCTACCGCTCGTCGTCGATGCGGCCAGCGTGGCCGCCAATATGGATTCGCGTTCCCTTTGCTCCGCCGCTGCACGAGAGAGAACGTATTGGGCGGCAAACTGGTGCTTCGGATCCATTCGCATGTGATCCATATGCGTGAGCAGGCCTGTGAAAAGAAAATTCGTCAAGCATTATCCGGTTTTAATAATATCGATGGAGTTCGAAGGAGTCCTAAGACCCTGTGGACCAAACCAACCAAGCCCTTCGAAAGGCTTTCGAATGAAAATTTTGGCCAAGTCCAATTGCCTGAGCTAGTCTCTATACAGTGAAAACTCTCTTGGCCGGACACTCACGGTCGTCCAATTTTTGTCCGCCCAAGGGCAGTGTCCGCTTAATGGGATACTTAAATAATTTATACACCGATCGAATGTTTTTATAGTGTCCGGATAAAAGAGGTGTCCATTAAGGGGGTTTTCAGTGTATATGTATGATAAATATTATCTATTATTACTTATTTCCGAAATAATAATCTTATTGATGGACAAATACCTCTATGAGTCAAATATGATTGGTAGGATTAATAAAAAACAAGAGAGAACGCTACAGTCGAGCAAGCCCGACAGTGAAATACCCTGTACCCAGGTAAATGTAACTTTAAACTACAGTAGATAATTATATATAAATTATGTGTGCAAAGTTTGGTTTAGGTAGCATTTGAAATGTGGACGTTATTGACGAAATTCTGTAGCGGGGGAAGGGGGGAAAAAACTCGTCCTTTCTCGGACCTAGGAGAATCTGGATGCCAACTTTGGTTATTCTAGATTTTAAAGTTTCTGAGATCCTGATACAGACATGCTAATGCCCATAGCTTTTGAACTATAGCTGCTAGAAACAGCAAACTTTATATATAGGCTTATCTTACTTGTATTTATATGCAGACCATATACATGAATAGCCTCATTATTTAGTATTGCTGCCATAGTTCATTCTTTAATTGAAGAACTGGGGCGGGTACTCCTACTCTCGCTTATTCTAGTTCCAATGCCCTCAAGATTCTGTTCGCTTACCATTCTCGTGGGTGAAGACGGCTTGGCACACGGAGCAGGGCCACATGCGTAGGCTGCTGGTGAGCTGTGAGGTCTCGGCGTGGCAGGCGAGATGTTTGCGCAGCGAGCCCTCGTTCACGTAGTGCTTGCCGCACACGGGACAGGGATGGTTGGCTGTGCGTCGCTTGCCCAGGTAGCTGTCGTTTATGCTGGATCCACCGGCCGTCGAGGTCTGGGCACATCCAGAATCGGGGGCACTGAGGGGAGCAGCCAGGGCGCTGCCACTGCCGCTTCCACTGAGCATACCCTCGCCGAATTGGGCTGTTGTATTGGAAGATAGCAAGGGTTGGGTTGGGGTGTTAGGCTCGGCGTTCAGACGACTTATGGGAATGTTAGAGGGCTACTTACGTGGTCCGCTCGGCACTGGCGTCGGACTTTTGTCTTTGTGCACGTGCTTCATGTGATCCATGAGCGCCTCAGTACCCAGGAATAGTTTGTGGCACACTGGACAAGAAGTGGCATTGGGGCCGCCGATCAGTGCCGCATGCTGCTGCAAGACACCAAGATGCAGCTGTAGCTCCTGTATTATGCGATATGCGATGTTGTTGTTGTTGTTGTTGTTGTAGTAGTATTGTGTACAGTAAGAGGTGATGGAGTTGATGGTGGTGAGAGTACAGTCCGTTCGGTGCGGCGGGAGCGGGTGGAAGCGGCAAAGAAAATAAACAAAATGCGAATTCGCCATAAATGGAAAGCGTTTATTTGATTTGTTTTTCGTGATTTTGTTTTGTATGATTAGATGATTACTTGACGGGCTCTAAGCGTGTAAATAGCGGAATTGTTGTTGAAAGGCCGAAGCTCTATTAAAGAACCTCTCTAACCCTAGTCGCTTACTGACCTTGGACGTGTGCGTACGCAGACTGGACTCGGTGGCAAAGCCCTTGCCGCAAATGTTGCAATGAAAGGGCCGATTCTTGGCGCGCTCCACTTGGGCATCGTGGTTGCGCAGATGCTGTTGCAGGTTGGACAGCTGAATAAAGGCTCGGCCGCAGTCCGGCAGGTGACACTTGTAGGGGCGCTCTCCTAAAATGATAAGCAACAGGAATGAGTAAAAATATTTGTAAATAGCTGTAAAGAGTTCCTAAGTATATAGAAGTGAAGGCAAGTAGTTCCTTTTAGTTCCGCTTCCGCAAGCTAGATATTATCTTCTGTAAAGACTGCCCAGAAATGAAATCAGCAACCCACTGCAGCAAATCAAAGTGATTCCAGCTCCAGGCTGGCAAGCTAGAGTGTGCTGAGACTAAACTGAGGTACGAGTCTCTTTAATTCCTGCACTTAACTCATAATCAACACCAAGTTGGCAATGACTGTGTGAAATTCATTAATCAGTAATCTCAGTGGAAACTCAAGACATCCCCAAAAGAATGCGGAAACATTTGTTATTCATGCTCGATGCGACTTGTTTAATTTGTTGTCTGCTCATTTTCCATCTATTGTTTCGCCAATATGCACGCAACACTCAATGGACAATGCACTGAATGGGAATGAAAATGGGAATATAAATGTGAATGGGACAGGGACAGGGACGGGGACGGGGCAGGGAGGGGGACAGGCACGGGGTATGGATGAATGGAGGGCAAAGTGTTGCCCAGGTGTTGCGCGTGTGAGGATTCAACTTTTTTGTTTCTTTTTTCGGGCAAAACCGGTACTGCTGCCACAACAAATGCCGAACGCCACGGCCTACTCTCATTGTAACCGATTGCGCGGGGCTGATGTGGCGAGACGAGGCAGGAAGGGTTAATGGTGGGCTGTGTGCTTTTTAAAGAACTGTCGACGACTGTTTAGAGTTAACAGACGGCTGCCTTTTCACATAATACCCATACATCAGAGCTGAGAGAGTGAGGAGAGTAAGAAGAGGGAGAGACTGTTACTAAGTTTCTGGCACTTAAGATGTTGCTCCATATCCTTGCTCCATGTGGAACAGCCAGCAGCTGTTTGGCGGCATCAGCTGTTAAGCACGCGAGCCAAAATAGAGCGATTGCAGAATCCATGAACCCATTTTTTTTTTGGCTGGGTAGTCGTGTGGGTGGCTGAGAGATTGGGTGGTTAGGTTGGGTGGTTGGGTGGCTGTTTGGGTTAATGCCTTGCGCACACATAACCCGAACGGCGTGCTTGGTGATGACGTAGCCACGAGCTGCGTAATTGACTGATTGACTTCATTTTAACGAGATTAAAAACTGAGCGCTCAAAAATGATGTCTCCAGACAGCGGCAAACTAACTGGAGAAGAGTCAGCGAAAGAGACAGAGAGAGAGAGAGAGAGAGAGGGAGAGAGAGAGAGTTTCACAATCCTTTGGGCGACATCAACACGGACAATCGAACAAGTGCAGCAGCAATGCTTTGCCACTTTAAGTCAGTCGTGGCTTGATGAGAAACAGAGACCAAGTCAGAGTCCGAGTCCGAGTCCGAGTGGGGGTCGGGGTCGGAGACGTACGGGTTGTAAGGAGCTGCAGCAACGCGGCAATTACGTGTTTCAGATTTGAAGGAAAATTAATTTCATTTGAACGCGCAATTAAATGAAAGAGTGGAAGGTCAGAGGCGAAGCGGGGCCAGCATCAGCATCAGCAACAACAACAGCAACAGCAACAGCAACAACAACGGGGGCAAGTGAAAGAAGATGGGACCTAAAGACTAAATCGTTTAAGCTACTTACAGTCACTTTGCTGCTGCTCAGCGACACTAAATGGAAATAAATAGTTACAAAGTGCAGTCGTGTAGACGCGAACGCCAACACGGACATGATTGCGGACGAGGACACGGACATGGACACGGATATGCCGGAGAGAAAGAGAGACTACCCTTGCACTTATCGCACGAGGCACGAGGCACAAGAAAAAGAAAACCCTTTACCATTCGCCTTCTGCCTTTCGCCTTTCGCGTGTTGGTGTTTGCCCGAAATCATCAGGGAATGAAGGACTGGCAGACTGTTGGACTGCTGGACTGCTGGACTTTCGGACGCAGCTGCGTTCACACCTTGCGGCACGTAAAGCCAGCAACCGGAGTCTGGAGCCTGTGGCCGAGAGTCGCAGCCACTTTATTTAGCCTGTCACTTTAAGCGCCTTAAAGTATGCATTATGCGCGTGTCTCGCGGCTGCCCTGAAAATGGGCAAACTTTGCCTCTAGGGGACTGTTGTCGGCTGGCTGGCTAGCTGGCTGGCTGGCTGACTGCAAGTGCCGGCATGCAGGGGCTTGGAAAGGGTTTACCCTGCGGTTTTTCGCTTCTAGTGGTCGCCTTTGCTGTTGCCGTCGCCGTCGCTGTCGCCGCCGCTGCTTAATGGCCTCTCCATTATCCGCGTCGGCGTTGTCACTTGGGTCCTCAGCTCGCGCGTTGCATTGTCTAATTACCCAGGCCCAAAAGATACACCAACAAGAGCAGAAGTTGAAGCGGCATCAGGAATTCTAAGAGGCCTCTTAGGTCGCTCGTTTGCTCTTCGTTTCGTACTCCGCGGGGTAACTGCCGCGTAACGGGCGCGAAACTGGTTTTTAATCAAACTGTATTTGATTTCTTTTTCAGCGCTTCTTGCCGAAAAAAATGCAGAAAAAAATGTAATAAAAAAGAAACAGAAACACGAAACGAAATGCGAAGGCTAAAGCTAAAGCCAACAAAAAACCGTGGCAATTGTAAAGTTGCAATCAGGTGTGAATATAATTTGCTTCAGAGACAGGCAGGGTTCTGGCTGAAGGGGCTGAGCAGCCGCTAGGCGCTAGAAACAGGGCAGGATAGGCCAAGACAGGGCCAGGCAAGGCAAGGCAAGGCAAGGCAGTTACGTTAAAGTTGAATGCAGCTAATGACGTTGAATAATTTCCGCCGCGACCTGGGACAACTCTCATATTTGACGACTGACTCGCCCGAATGGAAAGCAGCAGCTGGGCCTGGCATTGGCCCGTCTCCGGCTGGGTCCGGGAATGTCGCGAGTCACAAGTCGCGACGAAAAGCACTCCAAGTTTATTTAATTATCATTGCTGACTCTTCGGATTACGCGACCGTCGAATGGCCAAAAAAAAAAATTACAACAAAATTTGTGCAAGTTGAATTGAATGTTATTATGGATCTAAGCAAACGACTTTTAGATACACTTCGGCTTTCAATAGGAATGTTGAGAGATAAGGCGATTTCAAATATTTAGTGAAGGAAAAAAGGATGCTATATTTCATTAATAATAGCTGGTTATATATACATACTTGTATGGTTGATGAAATATTGGATTTACTCTAATTGAAGGGAAAGCTAGAAAATAGTTTATGGTGTTTATAGTGTCCGCTTACGTCCAAGGACTCTGCTATCGTAGACCATAAAGGCATAAATTAATGATGAATTTGAATAAATTGTGCAAAGCTGTGCATTCGAAGTTTCACAAACGACCTTAGAAAGATCTTATGCTCTTCCTGTGCTAGGCAGGAAGAACTCCTTAGAATGAGAAGAAACATTTGGATTTGCAACGAAAACAAGCGGCCAAGTGCGTAGGGGTGGTTGGCTAGAGCGGAGAAAGACTGGGAAAGACTGGGTGGACTGAGGGGACTGGGGGGGACTGGGTCCGCCATTGCCGTCGCTTTTTGACTGAATGCCCGTGGCCAGTTGTTGCCTACAGAATTATGAGCGACTGTTTTCAGAGAGTGTTGGTGTGCTGGGGTGTCGGATGGGGAGAAGGATGGATAGGCAGGACGACTGGCAACTGGCGACTGGCGACTGGCCCATCGGCGGCCGTTTTAATTTGTCATAAGAACTGAGCATTTTTCATCAGCTTTGTAATTACAAGCAGTCGAAATAAGTAATAAGCACATAATAAGAAAAACATGCGCGCCAAAAAAAAAAAAAAGAAAAAACGGAGAAAGCGAAAATTGTAATTAGAAAAAGTTGAATTGTAGAGTGGTTGGGGGGAGTGCAATGCCGCCAGATGTGATAGCGGATCCGAAAAATTTCATTTCACTTCTAGTCTAAAATGGTGGGTGGCCGAGTGGCCGAGTGGTACCTCGAGTGGTACTTACCGGTGTGGAGGCGCGTGTGCTGCTGGACGTGAGACAGCTGCTTAAATCTACGATCACAGTACGAGCATTTGTACGGCTTCTCTCCGGTATGGACGCGTATGTGCTGCACCAGTTGATGATTGCTGGAGAAGCTCTTCATGCACTGCTGGCACTGGTGCGGTTTCGTCTCCGCCCCTGCAGCACTCATGCTAGCAGTGCCGGCCGCCCCGTGTGCCCCGAGGCCGACGCGAGGAATCTGCTGCTGGATCTGTTGCATGGCGCTCTTGTGCATGAACAGCTGCAATTGTACGGAAACAGATGGGAGAGACGCACGCCGGGGGCGCGGTTTACAAAACGGATGAATATACGTTCGTTACTCCGCGAGCACCTTCTTCTCTTCTATCTCTTCTTCTTCTTCTTCTTCTTCTTCACTATTCACTATTGTCTATAGGTATTTAATATTTATATATACATGTGTATATAGATACTAGTATATTTGGGGTGTATTATCGACCGATTTGAGCACAGCCGTGTTCCACACTTAAGTGTGTGTGTGCGTGTGTGTGTGTGTGTTTGTTTGTTTGTGTGCAGTCAAGGTTATATTTTTGGCAAGTGTGTTCATTTATTTGTGTGCGCTCTTTAATCTTAACTCCCGAACTGAAAGCGCTCCCAACTCTGTTTGCTCATTTATAGAGTTCTTAAAATCTTTTTTCCCCATACACTGCTCTTCTTTCCCCACTTTTTTAGGCATTTTTTCAGCTTTTTTCCATAAATATTTTTATAAAAATGTGTACCATTGCATGTCGTACAAGTCAGAACAGCTCAGCAGAAACAAAAAGTTGAGAGAAAAAAAAGAACAGAAGCGTACTCGTACTCGTACTCGTACAGAAGAAGAAAAAATGTGTTCTTACAAAAAATGCGAACAAATAAACATAAATAAATATCGGTTGCACTTGCTGCCCAAGCCGAACCACTTTAAAAAGTAGGTGCATTTTTTGTGCCTCACAGCGCGAATGCGACTTTCGAAATTTTTGCTGATTTTTCCGATTTTTAATTTGTCAGGCGGCCGCTCAAGTCGCTCTAATTGTGCGCAAAGAGTAAATATGTATGTAAATACATACTCGTATGTACAGATGTACACATGTATAGATATATAGATGTGTGTGCGTTTAGTGAAAACAGCAAGCCCAGAAGATTGCGCGAAAAACCTTCATTCCGTCAATTTGGCCGTCGAAGACAAAAATCGACGAAGGTTACGCACTTATCGCTATCGCTTCGCCCCACCTGTGCCCGACTAACTAAGCCAAGTGTATAACTTGGAAGTTATAGCTCAACAAATAAATAATTGCACTGCATTACGACTTAATACCACATGGACTGAATGCTGTCTCTTGCTATACTGGCAATTAATGTGAAGACCCTCATTTTCTTATATACACATACATGTCTATGTCCGAACACAGCTAGACTTGTCTGCTGAAGTACTCTCTCAGCCAGTTCGATTATAGATACAAAAATACTATTAAATACGCGTACCCACTATTCATTTGTACTTTGAACTGGACCCATTAAAATATTTTCTGCTAAAATAATTCGAAACTACTTTAAATTTATCGTACAGAGAAAATCTAAATCTTCATTCTGCCGTTTTCAGTTCGTGGGGAGTCCCTTCTTCGTGCAGTCTCTTCTTCCCCCATTCTGCGACCTTCCTTACAGCCTCGAGCTTTGAGCTATTAGAGGTTTTGGATGCCCCTGACCTCGTCCCTATAATCGGTCTATATATGGGGATATGTAGACAACTATTTGCCACATCGAAAGGGCCCTTAGAACTCCTTTGTTAGCTTCACGAGCTAAGGAGGTTTCTTCGTCTGAGCCGAAGCTATACATACTATATATAGGCCTGCCTTACAAACAAAACTTTATTCCTCCATTGTTACGCGCTGTAAAGAGTATACCCTGGAGCGCATTTACAAATATCTTTAGATATTAGCATGTTCTGAATACAAAAACTGTTTTGAAGTTTGAGTTTGTTTATGGTCCGTATAGTTCGTCTTGGTGAAAAATTCATTCGGGACTTTGTGTGGGTGGAGCAGTGATTGAATCAGATAGGTAGATGGACAGCGCACACTATAGGAATAATTAAAAGTAAGTAACAAAATTAAATCAAATATATCCTCAAGAAGTATTCGTTTTCTGCGAAAAAAAGTGCCTAGACAAAGTTTGTTATAAACAAAAAGTCTGCTGAATAAATTATATATTCTTTGTTTTGTGGAAAAAACAAGTATATAATTTTTATTTATAGAATTCCTAGTTTTAGTGAAAGCCATAAAATCAGACATCTTTGCGGACTGATAGATTTCCTAATTTTTTAAAAACTATTTAGAACAGTTCCCATGAAAACTATGCATCTGATAGTTGTTTGAAGTATGTATCTTCTTGTCAGTTTTAGAGTTAAATTATAAATAATTCGAGCATGTACCTACATGGTGGGGTAGGAACTATTTTAATTGCAAAAGGTTTACAAAGCTGGGTGATAATACTATAAAGTGTATAAATCGATTAATGAAAAGTTTGTTGCACTTGTTTGGAAAAATGTCATTAAGCAGAAAATAATTGATTTTTAAAAAAGTTGTCTATGCATGTGTGAATTACTTCGGCATGTATGTATGTATGTGAGAGTGTGTGTGTATGTGTGCAAGTGTATATGTGTGGGGTGCAATTAGGTGTCGCATGTTTGTATTCTCTGTGTTATTTAGAAGTTAGTGGGCAACGAACATAAAACCCCAATACTAGGATAGCTGAGCATAACTGAGTGTAGAGAACTTGAAAGTTAAATGAATAAACCGAAGCAATCTTGGAAAGAAAATCAGCAGTTCTCAACCCCAAGTCAGCTACCCACCACCCCCACCCCCAACCCCACCATTCACCGCCTGCTGTTCCCGCCATCATCATAAAATGCCACTTCGGGCAGCGTCTGTTCTCCGTTCCTTGAGCGCTTGGCCACCCACTTGTCAGACGGACACACAGAGAAACAAACAGATAGACAGACGGACAGACGGACATACAAACATAAGTAGTATATGTTTGTATGTATGTATGTATATAGTAGGTAGTACATATATATCTTTTCCAAGTGCGCATAAACCGACAACGCCATAATCCAAAAGAAAAGTAGGTGCAGCAATGCGAGTGATGCCAGACTCCATTGACGCCCCCTCCCCCCTCACCCAACCCGCCACCCACCACACACCTACTCCTGTCCTGTGCTGGACTTTGCGACGCGAAGCGCTCTGGTTGGTTGGTCGCCAACGTTTTGTTTGCACTTGCCAACAACAACAACAACAACGGGAATAGGAACAGAAACAGCAACAGCAATGGCATTGGCAACCCAAGCCCCCCAGCCGCCCACCTACCTACAAATTCGTTGCTCGCCACTTGCCACTCGACACTCGACACTCGCCCCGACACACTGCACTGCACTTTTTATTCGTTTGGCAAACACACAGCAGGCGCTTCGCCTCGCTTTTTTCTGCCATGCTGCCTTGCTGCTCCTTCGTCCTTCTTTTTGCAGCACGCCAGAAAAATGGCGAGCACGCTGCACAGGCAGCCAGCCAGGCAGGCAGGCAGGCAGCCGTGGCGACGACGAAGAGGACTACAACGACGGCGACGACGACGACGGCCCTGTTGTCCAGTCAGGCTGCCAGGCTGCCAGGCTGGCAGGCAGCAAGCGAGCCAAGCAGCCAGCGTCAGCCAACGGCAGTTCTGCGACTCGCTGGCAAATGAGATTGCGATAATAGACGGCAACAAAATCCAGCACTACATCACAATGCGGGCGTATCTGTGTCTGTACGCGCGTTTTAGTGTGTGAGTGGGTGTATGTATGCATATGTATGTGTGTGTGTGTGTGTGTGTGTGTGTGTGTGTGTGTGTGCGCGGGTTCTTTTGTGGTCAGCACTGTTGGAGGTTGTTTTTTTTCTGCTGCTTTGTTTGCATCCTGCTAGGAGCCAAGACATGTACTTTTAGTTCCAAAAAGCAGACAGAGCAGTCCGCTCAATATAAAAGGAAACCAGACAGGACCTACCAAATATTTGCTCTATGGCTCCAACTATAAAACGGATCAAACTAAAATATATTGCACCGAACTAGGGTCAACTAAATGCAAGGAAATCAAAGCAATGGGCGTACTTTTTTAAATATTATGTTGCTTCATGATTTTAATATATAATCAGTTTATATTTATAACGATAAGGGACATATTTCTGCTTCATCATACTACAAATAAAATGCTATATATGTTGTTATCTGATGGTTGAATGAATTGTGTATTGTGTATCGATGAAAACGGAAACGGAATAATTGGGTTCAAATAATTAAGTACATATCTACATTTAAGTACACAACGAATAAAAGTTTGACTTTAAAGGAATACCTCGAGGAATTTCAAAAGTGACCACCGATATTTCTTTATATGGAAATGTCCATAAACCATGCTATTAAACATTAAATTAAAACTGATCGGAACGAATGAAAGTTTGATTTTAAAGGAAAACGTAGATAAAGGCTCCTCTTTCAATAACACCTAGAGGAATTTCCAAAGAGACCACCGCTATTTCCTTTTTTGGAAATGTCCAATATTTAAATTAAAACTGATCGGAAAGAATCTAGTTAAAGTGTATTAAAATTACAAACTAACTTTAAGTTCTTTGAAGCTTGGCATTTGAAAATCTGAAACTAATTTAAATGCTTCTAATTTAAAGTTGAAAATTGCTTACTGAGGAATTGTGGCTTGAAAGTCGCTGAAACATTAAATATTAACTTCAAATATAAGCATGTAATCAGAGAAGAATATAACATATGTTTATAATATATTTAACCTATCGTTTAAATAACTAAATGAATTGAACAAAATCATAAACCACAATTCCCCCTTTGGCCGCTAATGAAAGAGATGCTATATTCTATGTTTCTGAATTTAAATGGCATGTTAACTGATTAAATTAATATATTTTGTCTAATAAATATGCAGTTATCATTTTATTAGAAAGTTTGTTATCGGACTTTTATTGAAATTTATTGAACCGTTTTAAATCATATCCTCTCTCCGCTACGGATTATAAAATGCCTTTCTAATACAAGTATATTTCAAGTGGCACCTATTTGAAATATATAAATAGTTATTAAATTACTTTGAATAGAACTGTTCAGCTAAGAGTTCAGAGCTAAAGGTTTTTGAATATGAAAAATATTCGAGATTCGAAAGCCATATAAACTAGCATTCATATCGAGTGCCCGCTGTACTGACACTGCTAGTGAACAGCACAGAAGAAGGATATGCGTCTGCTGGCTGGACACTAATACAAACGCACGACTACATATGTGCATGTGACTGTGTGTGAATATTAATTTTGTTAGTGCAGAGTATACATATGTCTGTGCGTTCGCTGCCCGCCCTAGCTTCCTACAAGCACACAAACACACTTACATACACACATACACACATATGTACAAGTAAATGGCTATGAAAAAATTGTACACATATTGCTCAGCAGTTGGTATACGTTCACATTCTCCTTTAGCATTTTTTTCTGCTGTCCCTTTTCCGTTATTTCGTTACGTTTTTTCTATTTCTTCTAAACAGCCATGTCGTGTGTGTGTGTGTGTGTGTGAGTGAACGTGCATGTGAACGTGTGTGTGTGCCAATGGTGTGAGTGCGCCGAGTGGCCGAGGGATGGCGATAAGAATCGCCTTCTACGTTGCCGCCAATGAATGTCTCTGCTGGCACCATCCTTCGGTGCCTTTTTGCCATTGTGTGTGCAAGGACTGCATATGTATATGCGTGTGTGTGTGTGTGTTCGTGTCTGTGTGAGACACCCCTTCGGCAGCAGGCGTTTACCGTCGCTAATAGAAAAAAAGTCAGTGGTCGAAAGCAAGCAAAACGAAAATGGTTGAACAAAAAAGAAAAAAAAAATGAGGGGTGAGCGGATGTGCTTGCTTCCGTCTGGGCAACGTGTGTACGGTTATGTGTGTGTGTGTGTTGGCAACGTTGTGTGAGTGTGTCTCGAGGGTAGCACATGCACACACACCACACACACACATAAGTAAGTAGACTCAGTGTGGGGTGGGGTTCAACTGTAAGACGTTGCCTTCGACCCGCATATATGAGAGTGTCTGTTGCCGGCTGACTTCTCTTCGCTCTCTGCAAGGATATCAGCCCCCAATACGCCCATTTGCCGCCCCGTCACCCTCACCGCCAACCTCTTGTAGCCCACAACGCCATTCCAATCACTTAAAATAGCAATTGGTTTTTTCTTCAGCTTTACTTTGAGTTTAAATTGTTGGCAGTCGATTTCACACTCTCCCATAAACATGTAAGTGGGAAGGGGGGTATTTGTGTGGGTGGGTGTGTGTGTGCATATTTAATAGATGATCTGCATGTGTGTTAGTGTGTGTGTGTGTTGTGTGTGGGTGTGGGTGTGCATCTGTATAGTATATCTTACCATTGTTTAAAAAAAAATGAAGATAAAAAACCAAATTACAGAAATGAAAAACAAAAATCGTTTGTGTTGCAGTCAGAAAATGATAAAATTTATTGTCATAAAATTGTGAAACTTAACACGTTGAGAACAGACTCTTTACATACACGTATATAAGTATGTGGGTCACATAGCTTCCAGTCTGTGGTCCAACGGTTTTAGAAGCGGGCAGCCTCTCAAACTTAACTCAAAAGTCGACTTAAAAGCTAACAACAAAACTTTAAACTTAAAAACAAGCATAAGTGCGTGTAAGTGTATGTGTATTTATACATATGTACATATGTATATACATATGCATATGTGTGAGTGTGCATATTTAAATTAACTTATAATTATATATAATTAACTTCAGTCTTTCCCATATTGAGCATTAAAAATGCATTCTTCTATTTCCGCCACTCAATACAGCTTTCCAACAGTCAAGAGGATTTAACTAGCTACTCGAATAGATTCCAGTTTAATATCTCTCCATACATATACAAGTAGAATAGAACTATACTTGTAACTTAAAAAAAAAAAAAAAAAAAACAGCAACTGTTAACACTTGCTCGATCAAGTTTAGTTCCACATAGTTTTTGAGCTAATATTCTTAAAAGAAAATAATAGTTAAAGGAAAAAAAAAGAAACGCGGTCTCCCTCACTACATTATTAAACGGATAGCTTATGAAGAGGTTATTAAGATGCGTTAACATGAACCTTCTTCAGCTGTAAAACATAATCTTTGACGATGTTCGTGGGTGTGTTGTCGGTGTATTCTTGTGTTTGATTGATTTGTGATCTGTGTTAAGTGCTCTTTTGTGGCTGACAGTATGCAATTTTTAGTGTCTTCAACGTGGAAGAGTACTATACACAACGGAAGAGATGCCAACTCACTCGTTGCAGGGTCGACCAACATTCTTCAAGGGTGCGTTCACTGATTGCGGCTGCACTGCTCGACCGGGAGAGCTGGAGCTGTAACAGAACGAGAGTAATATAATCATTAGTTGAATTGATACAAATATTTTAGTTTCATATTTTTAATGGCCATTTAAAGCTTATAACCAACACTGTAGGTACTTAAGATACGCCTGCTCAACTTTTAAGTCAGCCTTGCTGCGACAGATCCTGAGATAATTCTTCTCAGAGCACTGAGCTGACGTTCCTAGCCATTACCTACAGTGCTGCTGATGTTAGTAACTAAATTGCAATTACAAATCGAGCACTCGTTCGTTTTAGATGTCAACGACCTCTCTAGAAAGTCCTTCAATGGAACTTTCCTAACGCTCGAGTGCTCCAATTGTAGTGCAATGCAAAGCAACAACAACAACGCAAATAGCAAAAAATATATAGTGTTAATTTTATTGAAAATAACATTACGTGCGTCTTCTCATTTGCCGAGGCGGCAAACGCTCTGTTAGTCGGCTTACAACAATTACAATTACAACTACAACAGTAACAATAACGCTCACAGCAAGATGGTTACAGAGCACCACGCAAAGTGAAACTAAGTATGGTTATGGTTGAGAAAAAAAGGAGAAGAAACTAAATCGGATGGCATTATGTCGCAATAATGTCCGTTTGTTTGTCGGTCACTGCAGGGGCGCCGCGATCGCCCGAGACAGAGAAACAAAAATTAAATAGCTTATTGAGAGTATGGGGTGGGGAAAGGTGGGGTTAGCCAATTGCCGTCGCCACAATCAGCGCAAGGAGCCAACTAGGTATATTTTTGTTGTTGCAAAATCAGCCTTCACTGACAGCTCCTTATGCTGACGACTGTGACGCGTTATCGAGACAGAAATCAAGAAACCAAATGTTCACGTGGGAAACAAAAACCAAAAGCACCGACGTTACTGCCAAAGGAATCGAAGCGGACTTGGACAGCTAAACTAGCAAAGCAAACGGACTGCTGACAAGTACATAGTTTCTAATTGCAAGCGATTTGAAAGAAAAGAAATTGCTAAAGTGACTTTCAATTGATCCCTCAATGGTAAGTAGGCCTTGAAGTCGATTGATTTCGCTTCTCAAAATACATTGAATTCGGCTTGGGAAGATAACATTTTAATTTGTACTCCAATTGGGATTCCAATTGGGAGTGCTTAAATGGTACTGCCACGCCCACTAAAACCACTACAGATGTGTGCCACTCTCCAAAACGGACAAGACAAGACAAGATACAAAACTAAATGGAAATAATTGAGCAACCAATTGAACGGAAAATTGAACAACAACGCACAAAACTCAAAATCGAAAATAAAAAGTTGGAAAAGAAAATAATAATCGCGCTGGGTTAATTTGAATTTTGATAGATTTTTGCAATGGGAATAAAAATTACATCGTGTTCCTCTTCACAGTCCAGTGTCATTATAAAAACCGATCTAGTCTATAGATCGAAAACGAAACAAAATGGAACGAATAATTTGTTTTTCTCCTTAGTCGTTCTAATTATTGTTATAATTATTTATTGATTTGATTTTTGTTTTTTTGTTTTTTTTTCGTTTGCTAGTTATATTTCTTTATTATCGCGCACGCTTCTTGTATTTTTGTTATATTTATAAATTTTTATTGGTTTGGTTTGTTTTGTTTGCTTGTTTGCTGGCTTGTTGGCTTTCTGGTTTGTTTTAGTTCCTGTTGCAGTCCCTACATACATATGCATGAGTTCTTGGAAAAGGACGCCATCAATGACGATGACAGCACCCGCAACGAACGCAACTGGAGGAGAAGAACTTCATCATCATCAACACCATCATCGTCGATGTACGCGTCGTCATGTTATTGTTCGATATGTTGTTTATTTACAACAGCAACAACAGCGCCACACATGTGATGCCGAAGTGTGTGTGTGTGTGTGTGCGTGTGTATGTTTGAGTGTGTGTGTATGTGTGTGGAGCACACACGCTCGTATATCAGTCAGGCAGGCCCAAAAGAGTCCTTCGGTCGACGCTCACGAGCTCTGAGCAGTCGCAGCCTCAGCTTTGGCTTCAGCTTCAGCTTCAGCCTTAGACGATGGTGACAACGACAACAACAATAATAATAACAACAACAAAACAAAATTTGTACAACTCTTGTGCCGTTTTAGCTATTCATATATGTATTTATTCATTTGTTGTTGGATACATGTATTTCGATGACGTTCTTTATTGTTGTCGGTCGGCTCGACAGTCGAACGGACGAGCGGTCGTTTGTTTGTAATGCGCGGTCTTTAGCACGTTTTATAAGTACATTAAATAGCGGTTCGATGATATCGTCAATATCATTGCTTACATATATGCATATATGTATTTATAGAGGTATGTATATGACGGGTGATGACAAAAAAAAAAAACAAACACTGTTGGCCACGTCGCGACTTTCAAAAAAATTGTTCGAACACAACACTTTGGCAAAAAAAAAGAACAACAACCGAACGGCTTGTTTCACTGTTGGGACACTCGACTTGGCCCTTTTCTGTTTTCAAATATTTTGTATTTTTTTGATTTTGTATGTTCTTGGTCTCGAAGGCGCACAACCTGACGGCACGATGTCCTTTGAACTTCTGCCGGCAGCACTTGGCGGCGCAGACATTGCGCCTTATCCACAAACGGGATACTCAGCGTCTTCTTCTTATTCTGTCGCCGTCGTAGTCGCGTCGTCGTCGTCGTCAGTCGACGCCAGCGGCTCTGCTTTTGTTACTAGCGTCTAATTTTGTGTCTCTTTCTGGCTCTCTACCCCTCACCCCATGTTAGTGCTAGTGTGTGTCTATGTGTGTGTGTGTGTGTCCCGTGAGCGTATATGTGTGTGTGAGTGTGCCTGTGTACGTGTGTATGTGTGTGTGTATGCCCGTGTGTACTATTATTGTTTTCTTCAAGAAATTATGCACGAGTCACAATTTGAAAAAAAAAACGAAAAGAAACGAGAAGAAAAACAGTTAATGTGCGCTGCTCGCATACATTCTCAATCAAACAAGGAGTCGACGGCTCGACGGCAGCGACGGCGACGCCAGCGCAACACACAAACATACACAGCTAAACGCAAGAAGGCGTGCGGACAAGCGTCCGGGAACGGGAATGGAAACGGAACGGGAATAGGGGGGACCTGGACTCACTCACACTCGCTCTCTCTCCAACGCGATGCAAAATAAAAGGCAAGGCAAAAAACAGCGTTTGTATGAGTGTATGTGTGTGCTTGTGTAGTTGTATTGAACTAAACTTGCACCCACCCCATCGCATTTAATTCCACCCTAGCTAACACAAACAGACACACATACACACACACACACACACACACATTCACAAACACTCACTCACACATTTTAAGGCAGGCCGTAGGAGAAATTGCGAGCCACGACGACGACGATGACGACGACGACGGTGACGACGACTACGACGACGGGAAACACAAATGGGGTTACTTGAGAAAAAACGACACCTAAAAACTAAGCAAATGATAAAAATGCGCTCTCTCTCTTGCTTTCTCCCTCTGGCACACTAAAACAGAAACAGTCGTCCATACATTTTCCATGCACTTCGTGCCGAGCTCCTAAGCAGCAAGAGCAGGCCGAGGGGAACGAGGAATGCGGCGCATGTATGAAACGGGATGTGGACAAGGACTCGTGTGATGGGCGCGCAAAGTTGATGGGAAAAATGAATCATCTCAAGCAAAAGGCACTCACACCTCCTCAGACCACCACAAGAAATATTATTTAGATGCTCTCAGCATAAGGATTCCCTGTCTGAGCTTTTTCTTCCAAGCAAGTATGCAAGCAAAGAACATAATGCCAAGTTTCCCCTTGCCAGTTTGTGAGCTTTTCAAAAAATTCCTCGTGGACATTTGAAGGGGTAGGTTTTGGGTCGTTGCATTAAATTTCCTTGTGTGGGAAATTTACATGATTTATTCTCTTTGATGTGCTCGTCTCTTTATGAAACTCTTTTGATGCGGTCAAATGGTCAAATAACAAACCCGTGCCTAACTGACGCGATGACGATGAGGACGATGAGGACGACGGGGATGAGGAGCATGAGTGGGGCTGTTGCTTGTTGGACACATCGTAGCGGAACTTGAAACTAAAACAAAACTTTCAAGGACGTCTACACGTTGCTCGCTCATCTAACTGTCTGGGTTTGTTTCATACTTCATACTACTTTCGAGTCTAGTTCGATAGTGTTGGATCAACAAGTCCAGTCTTTTGGGAATTTTAGATATTTGTAAGATATCTTTTAATTGGGGAACTTGGAAACTCCGGTTCTAAACATGATAGCCGCAAAAGAGGTGTCATTTCTGTCTGCTCCCTTTTTTAATAATGAATGAGTGCTCTCTCGAAATCACAATAATTGGTATTGTTATGTTTTTAGGCAGATAACAGATAAGATAGGTAGAACTTTGAATAGTGATCATATGATCGACTCACCTGGATTTCGTTGGCGAGCTTATCGTTGTTGTACTTAATGTCTGGGGTGGAGCTGCCGCCAGATGGCGTTATCGAGTGCTGCGGCGACTGCTGGCCTTGCGATAGTGGTTTGTTGAGGAGCGGCGGACTGGACGCTTGACCAGCTTGTTGCTGTTGCTGCAATATTGGCTGCTGCTGCTGCTGGTGGTGCTGCTGCTGTTGGCCAGCGGCTAAGGGCGACTGCTGTGCATGCAACAGCTGCTCCGTGGACGTAGAGTTCTGTGCACCAAAGAGGTCGCTGCTATACGGCTGCTCCGACTGTTGCTGGTGATGTGGATTGTTGTGAAGATGCGACTGTTGTTGCTGCGATTGTTGCTGCTGTTGCTGCTGTTGCTGCTGCTGTTGTTGTTGCTGCTGCTGCTGACCATGCTCGAGTTTGGTGGTCAGCGATAAGCTGCTGTTGTTATTGGGATTGTGGTTGGAGGTAAGAGATGAAAGTGCAGCATCGGAATGGCCGAGATCGGAGACAGCCGCATTGCTGCTGCTGCCGCTGTTGTGGCTTTGCAGCGCCGTCGACTTGAGATGGGCGGCTGCGGCCGCAGCGGCTGCTGCATTGAACAACAGATGATGATTGCTCAACTGTGTGGGCTGTGCTGGACCGGAATGCTGCGACCCGAAGGCCTCACTGCCATAGGATTGCTCCGCATGATGCTGCAGCGTATGCGGCTCAATGTGCTCCAACTTAGGGTTCAATGGCAGGTTGTTATTGTTCGCTGTGGGATTCGATTGCTGCTCCTGCTGCTGCAGATGCAGCGGTGGCTGGTTATTATGATGTTGATGGAGTGCCGTGGCTGTGTGCAATGCAAAGGGAGCTCGGGCCTGTTGCCAGAAATCAGCAGCGTCCATTTTAAACATGGGAAATGGTTTTGGCTGTGGCGTGTCGCGCGAGAGCTGCTGCAGTTCCTGGGCTTGTTGCTGCGGCTGCTGTTGCTGGTGCGGCGGCTGTCGGTAATTGGACGATGTCCTTGTCATGTGCGCCGGCTGTGCGTTGGTGAACTGCGATAACAACCACTGGTCGACCTTCGCTTGAGATCGCAGCAACACTTCCTCCGGACCCAGTGCGAATGTTGTTGCTGTCTTCCTACGTCTAAATAAAGTTGTTTACTTCTTCTTGCCGGTGAACACTTTTTATAGGGCTAAAAGAAAGTGCAGATGATTGCAAATGTAACCAATACGCAGTGAAGGACAACAGCATGAGACAACAATGTGTATTAAGGAGATAATGATATCATACAAGTCTACAAGTTGCTTATAAAAGGTAGTAAGATTTGATGATCTAACCAGATGGAATTGTTCAAATCTAGAAAATATCCAAATATATAATAAGATATGTAATTGGACGCTTTTATCTTTCACAAACATATAAAATATTGATCCCACTATAGTAGGTACAGATTTGAAGATATTTATTGAGATTAACGAAATGTAATGCCTGATAATCTTTTAACATAGATAGCAGCTGAAAATAAATTCAGAGCAACTAGTTGGGCTAACTATTTTAACTATTGTAATGAACACTGTTTTAGTTCTTCCAACACGTACTCCTATACAAAATGGCTTGATATCGAGCTCTACATTATTAGGGAGATGGATTCGTTAGTTCTATTTTAGTTTCTGGGGCTAAAAATGATCATAAATATTAATATTACATGTAGGCTAAGAGCAAATTTATTTTTAAAGTGTACTCCACATAGGAATTGAATTTGAAAGTTCGAAAAAAAATGTTTTCCTTGCTGTACAAATATACATTAAGATGTGTAACCTTCGAACAATCTGAATAATAGGGTGGTGGCAGAGATTAGATAAAACTAAAGCATAAATGTTCTGGTTCGAAGAGTGTAACATCATTTAAATTCAGAAACGTGCATTAAATTGTATCCCTCACAAAAAAAAAAAACTATACAATTTTCCACATTTATACATATATAATCGTTAGATTATTAAAACCGAAACGGAAATTGTAACTGAAATTCCCACCACGTACATTTTTAAAGAATTTGCACTTATATTAACAAAATAAAAGGGTTTCCTAATGTTTTATCACTTTGCACTAGCTACGATCGTTTTTTCAGTATCATATCTTTTTTTGGTAATTAAAATCTAACTATAATTATTCTTTTTTATTTACATATCGAATTTATGAATAAGCTATTCCACAGGAATGTTTGGAATTCACAGCTGATACTATTTCATATATCATCAGTCTATTTCTATTGAAATTCGAGAGACACCTGTTTGTTTATAGCTTCTGGCTGATGCTTCTGCTAATATTTTGAGAAACACTGTATAGAACAAATTATGATTAGGACTAGAAATAATATCTTAACAGCTAATATGTTCTTAAAATCCTGTTCAAAGGAGTGTTTTCAGATCCCGATTAACACCCGATTATGAGCAACTGCTTCCTAAGGGATGTTTTACACAAAATGCGACAAATTATCTTCTACTTAATTAATTTATCAGTGCAGTTCTTGAATTTTATCTGTTGAGCAAGATATATGACATAACATCTTATAATTTGATATTTGTCTAAATGTGTTTTAAAGGAAAATAAATGTGTGTATAAACGATCGCATCGTAGTCTCTATGTGAACTCAATTTAAGGATGGCAGTATATTCTATGTTCTGGTTGGTTTTAGGCTTTATGGGAAGATTTGTTGATACAGCAAATACGAAACAGATGCAATCAGTTCAGATTCTAGGTATTCTAAGTATTTAGTCTGCTTTTAAAGAAAAACATGCTTGTTAAAAAATAGCGATCTGACTGGCAATTGTTATTAAGTAACTTGTTTCAGCTAATAATTAAGGCAACATAGAAAAGTCGAAAAATTTCGTAGCATAGTTTTTGGGGCTCATCTATGACATGGAACTATAGTGCGTAATAGTAAGTTATTCATCTATCAGTGTTGGCATTCGAATAGCTCTCTGAGTGCCTAAGCACTGCTGAGTATTCTCAAGTTTTAATAATACTGCCTGCCTACTGCCTACTGACTACTGCCTGCCCCATAAATGCCCAGTCACTTAATTACTGGGGGTAGGTCCGCTGTAATTCACCTGCCGATGATCCTTTCGGTTTAGCACCTTTGTGCTTTGTGCTTTGCGGTTCTATTGGCGGTTGCTTGTTTCATTTGAAATGCACAACACATAGTTCCGCTCTGATATTTTGAATCACACACTTTGCGTTGCTATCACCACTCACAGTTGTTGTTGTTGTCACCTGGCCGACAAAGACAAACTATGCGGCAGCACGTGCACCTTGTGGACACTACAAGGTAGCGCATGAGGGCTATTTTGTTGTTGCTGTTGTTATTGTTGTCTTGGACTTTAAAATATACATATATAGTATGTACATGTATATAACAAGAAAAAAATACAAGAAAAAAATTAATTCCCGCGCACTCGTATTTTCTATGGCCAGCGATACGGAGCGTTCGCTTGACTTAGCGTTTTGGCGTTTGCCGTTTGCCGTTTTAGCGTTTGGCGTAGTTGGCGTAGTTGGCGCTGTTCTTGTCAACAGATAACCTTGCGGCACGCGAGTCATTGAAAAACTAATTTCGTCGTTGGCTCGGCCAAGTATAAATATGACTTTCGCTGAGGGTTCAGAAACATCTCGCCTTCGCCTGCCGTTTGCTTAGAAATAGAACTTAGACGAAAGCGCGCGTTGTTGTTGGCGGAAGCACCAGCGCCGCCAGCAGCAGCGGCAGCGGCTACGACTACGGCGACGGCGACAGCAACAGCAACGACAGGATGTAGTGCAAAGGCAAAGTATGGCAAATGTCTTCGTTGGCAATTCGCGAAGTCTTCGGCCTGGCCATCCACGTCTTCGTGCCAACGTCTTCGCTCACGAGTATGTCCTGTGTACCTTCTGCTCCGCAATACCCCAATTGCTGTGTCCTGCTTGCGTTTCTCTCTCTTAAATTGCACTACTCTTCCAACTAAGTTGGCATGTAGTATCAAGTAGTTGCTCAGCAACGCACTGCCAACAGCAGCAACAAGAATATCCTCGCACATTTTACAGAAGTGAGCAATCAACACAAAAACCAAGACAGTTCAACATAAGGAGATGGGCACGAACTCGAGTACGCCTGGCTAACGGAATTTCTCTGTTCCTTCGATCTGATACAGCTCTTATGCGGCTGTAAGTCTGTAGGATTTCATGCTCCAGAGTGCTGCTAATGTGAGGGCCACTTTCTTATTACTACTTCCCATTGGGACTAGTGTGATGAGATGCTGTCCAAATATTCAGAACCTTTCAAATGCCTTTGGGCTAGTTAGAATAAAATAGTGATGCACTGGCTCCAAACGAAGGGTCAGTTATTAGCTGATAAGCTAGAAAGAAAGCAGCAGCCAAACAGGCAGTCTAACATGTTATCTACTACATCTACAATACTATTGCTTCCTACTGTATCAAATTTCTTACTAATGCCTCATGGTATTTACAATTAGGCGAAAAATCAAGTGGGAGCTAAAATGAAATGCGAAGGCTAGTTTGGTTAAGGAATTTTTGTTTCATATACAAGTAGAAAGTAATAGGTCAAAAAGTTGTCTATATGTTCAAGTTATATGTTATCTTATATATCCGTTACATTTGCAAATAAGTTGTTGGTAATTCAAGTAAACTGAAATTCGAAAAATATCTAAATACTTTAATAACATATCAAAGTATAGTGTTAGTTATACATTCAAGCTTAGTTTCATTTCCACTTCAACTGTGTACCAGTTCAAAATCTAATGTATATACTCTTACTTTTGCGATATTAAAAAAATAGTGTGGAAACGAACCCGTAACGTAAATATTTAGTCAACGGATGCCTAAAATGGTAAACTATTGGAAAAAATAGTGAACAGTGTTATTTTTATAAAAAAGATTCATATAGTCTTTTAAAATTTATTGAGTTCCTGTGAGTTCTCAGAGGAAAACCTGTCACAAACGCAGATACTTTTTATATGATATCAGATATTTGGATCGTTTTTGAATGACAGTCATATGTTGGTATAAAACCCTAGGGGATTATGTATATCCCTGTTAAATTTAAAAACATGATGCTACATTTATTGAATTCATCGAAAATAGAATATTTGCTAACATCAAGTTTTTCTTTTGATCACGAATTTTGAACGTATATTGCATTTATTTTTATAATATTTAAAAAGAAATAAAAATTCTTTGTGGAATCTAATACGCTTCCTTCTATACATACTATATGTTAGTATAACCTTTTGGGTATAGGGTATAATAATCAATAATGATATCACAATATATTCCTATTATCAAATAATTACGGATTTGAATGGATAAAGCCGGATTTTAAAATGTGCTTATGGAGCAACAGTTGTTATGTGCATCAAAACATTTAAACTGAATCTGTTTTTGTAAATAATAAACAGCACATAGCTGAAATAAACTATTCTTTTCATTCCAAACGCTATTGTCGATCAATTTTTAGTGGAATTCGATTACGAAATTGAAAAGGATGCGGCTGCTTCACAATTGCTTTGGGTTCTTTATTCTTTTGATTCATTTCTGAGGACATAAGATACTAACATGGTGTTGACGGCCAATGGATAAACTGGTTAACTGATCACAACATTCAGTTGCATCTTTATTGTGCTAAGTTCGCCTTTTACAAAAAAAAGGGTTTGTTCAGATTGCCAAGTTAACAGGTTTTTTTTTTCTTATTCCTCATTCATATCGTATACTGCAGAAGTACTAACAGGATAACAAATAGGAGAGTCGCTGAATACTAATTATTTATCCGATTACTCGTCAACAAGACGAGTTCCCTGTATCATGCCTGTATAAAAAAATTAAATGTTTAAGTTTATTAAATTGTCACTGTCTAAACAAATTAAAA